ATTTCATAGCTTCTAGTCACGTGCAGCTGACTTTACTAGTCTACCTTTCAAATAGATCAGCATCATAAAAATACCTGGAGAACAATTATGCTCTAATATACTGTATATATTGCCTAATAATATTGCATTGTTTTGTTCCTGTGTAATTTTGATTTTAGTTGTAGTTTTTTTATAACACGCACACGTGCACACACACACACACACACACACATATATATATATATATTTACACAGTATATATATGATCCAGTGCAATGACTCCTGACTTGAGCAAATGTGATTCCTACGATTTCACGTAAGAAAATCACAGGATCACGTGACCCCTCTCACCTGGGCGGCCTCGTACGTGATGGTCTTGGTTTCCGTGTGAACGATGGGGACCTCCTTAGTGGATATCTCCGTCTTCTGAGCAGCAAACGTGTCTGAGATCGTAACCATCTCAGTCTTCACAACAGGAGGCTACGGAGAGACAGAGGCATTCAGTGTGACACACGTACAAGAGGCATCCAGTCTGACGTCACAAACACACCACCACTACTACACAGCACAACGCAGAGAGGAAGCTCATGCAGCTCAAAGAAACACCACTATAAACTAGACGTCTTTGGTATAACGCATGCAGCCTACAAACAGTCAAATAAGAACCAAAAAGTTTCCAAATGTCCATGTGACCGTACATCAATGCAGTTTTGGTTTCGTGATCTTTGGCAGTGTTGACAGGACAACACACACATGCAAAAGCACAAAAACACAGCGCTGTGTGGATACGATATCAGATGTTAATATATTGTGCTTTTATTTCTATCAGTACTTCAGATGTGTGATCATTTCAGTGGCATTACTGAAGTTTCTGCTGCTTTATCTTTACTAGCAGAGTGAAGAATCAATGTAAACACACTTATCATATAATTAGGATATCAAGTAAGCAACATAAAACATGCACCACAAAGCCCCATGCAACGATGCACAAGATATAAGCCCCCGCATGCAGCGCTCCTCATGTGTGACTCAGAATATTGTGTGTGTTTGTTTGTGTGTGTGTGTGTGTGTTTGTTTGTGTGTATGTGTTTGTGTGTGTGTGTGTGTGTGTGTGTGTGAGTAGTCGAGTAGGATGGAATATAAAATCAACTTAAAGGCGAGAGGATGGAATGACGAACATTTAAGCGAACAAAACGCTTTCTTTTATACTGCAATCGCTTCCTTTACAAAGGGCTAGAGAGACATTTCAGCTTGAGCGCAGATAAAGCAGGATCTTCGTCCAGGAAGGAGGAAGGAGTGGGAAATGGAAGAGGAGATGAGGAGAAGAGTGGTGGCGCAGGGAAAGCGTAGACGGCCGTCTCAGCTCGGGATGTCAATTACCTCCGAACAACAAATAACCTGTGGCAGGTGCTCTGTTTCGACGCGAGAGGCGCTGCCGTTGACGATGTGAGGCTCCTCCTCCTCGGCAGCAGCAGCTCTGAGAGTGGGCGGGGCTTCAGCTTGGAGGGCTTGTCCGTTGGGAGCTTCGTCCGGTGTCGCCAGCGGCTCGTCTGTA